TACAAGAGTGTCCTACAAGAGTGTCCCAGAAGAGTGTCCCACAAGAGAGTCCTACAAGAGTGTCCCACAAGAGTGTCCTACAAGAGTGTCCCACAAGAGCGTCCTATAAGAGTGTCCCACAAGAGTGTCCCACAAGAGTGTCCCACAAGAGTGTCCTACAAGAGTGTCCCACAAGAGCGTCCTACAAGAGTGTCCCACAAGAGTGTCCCACAAGAGTGTCCCACAAGAGTTTCCTACAAGAGTGTCCCACAAGAGTGTCCTGCAAGTGACCCACAAGAGTGTCCCACAAGAGTGTCTCACAAGAGTGTCCCAGAAGAGTGTCCTGCAAGAGTGTCCCACAAAAGTGTCCCACAAAAGTGTCCCACAAGAGTGTCCCACAAGAGTGTCCCGCAACAGTGTCGCTCAAGAGCGTCTTACAAGAGTGTCCCTTAAGAGTGTCCGACAAGAGTATCCCACAAGAGTGACCTACAAGAGTGTCCCACAAGAGTGTCCCACAAGAGTGTCCCACAAGAGTGTCCTACAAGAGTGTCCCACAGGAGTTTCCTACAAGAGTGTCCCACAAGAGTGTCCCACAAGAGTGTCCTACAAGAGTGTCGCGTAAGAGTGTCCCACAAGAGTGTCCTGCAAGTGACCCACAAGAGTGTCCTACAAGAGTGTGTCCCACAAGAGTGTCCCGCAACAGTGTCCCACTAGAGTGTCTCACAAGAGTGTCCCTTAAGAGTGCCCTACAGGAGTATCCCACAAGAGTGTCCTACAAGAGTGTCCCACAAGAGTGTCCCACAAGAGTGTCCCAGCCAGAGCGTCCCACAAGAGTGTCCGACAAGAGTGTCCCACAAGAGTTTCCTACAAGAGTGTCCTACAAGAGTGTCTCACAAGAGTGTCCCACAAGAGTGTCCCACAAGAGTGTCCCACAGGAGTGTCCTACAAGAGTGTCCTACAAGAGTGTCCCACAAGAGTGTCCCACAAGAGTGTCCCACAAGAGTTTCCTACAAGAGTGTCCCACAAGAGTGTCCTACAAGAGTGTCTCACAAGAGTGTCCCACAAGAGTGTCCTACAAGAGTGTCCCACAGGAGTGTCCTACAAGAGTGTCCCAGAAGGGTGTCCCACAAGAGTGTCCTATAAAAGTGTCCAGTGTCTCACAAGAGTGTCCCACAAGAGTGTCCTACAAGAGTGTGTCCCACAAGAGTGTCCCGCAACAGTGTCCCACTAGAGTGTCTCACAAGAGTGTCCCTTATAAGTGTCCTACAGGAGTATCCCACAAGAGTGTCCTACAAGAGTGTCCTACAAGAGTGTCCGACAAGAGTGTCCCAGCCAGAGCGTCCCACAAGAGTGTCCTACAAGAGTGTCCCACAAGAGTTTCCTACAAGAGTGTCCCACAAGAGTGTCCCACAAGAGTGTCCCACAAGAGTGTCCCACAAGAGTTTCCTACAAGAGTGGCCCACAAGAGTGTCCTACAAGAGTGTCTTACAAGAGTGTCCCAGAAGAGTGTTCCACAAGAGTGTCCTACAAGAGTGTCGTTTGGACATATGCAGATTTTCGAACGTATTTGCATTCGGGTTCGTGGGTTCCATCTTGTTCTCGGTTTTACTGCTTTTTCTCTGCACAAACCGTGGTGATTTGATTACACTGTGATGACAGGTCGCCTCAAGCTCTGTTAGATAAATCCGTGATGATCGATGTCCACAGCTTGCGGCTTGGGGACCGAGCTAACTGGGTTACAATTTGCAGAACAAGTTCGCCCGCTGGTGGGTGAATTCAAGTCTATCCCTTTGCAGATGCAGACATCGGGAAAAGATCTTCCCTTGACACCACAATGAGAGGCTTCGTCACCGATCATTCACTCAACTGCTGCACCCGTCTTCTAAGTCTTTCTTGGGTCTCAAAGCTCTTCTAAGCTTATTTTAGGTCTTGTTTTTGTCATTGTGGTTTGCGATGATTTTGAGTTTCGTTCCTATGTGGATGATCGCGTGGCAGCTTAGCGAAGCGTCTGCAGTACCCGACATGACCCTCTCACAGGCAAGTGTCATGGAGCCCGTTGCGGTTCCCTGTCTGAACATTCTATCAGGTGGTTCCCCAGCTCGTGCCTTCGGCCGTTGATGCCAGCTTCCGCCGCAGCATGTTCATATGCAACTCCAGCAGCGTCGCCCCAGAATGGCAGTCGGTGAGCTCGATCTCCTGCACAGCGATGTTGCGCAGAATGACCCTGGCTCGCATCTGCACTGCAATCCCGCCAATTGCACCACTGGCCGCCAAGCTTGCTAGGATGATGGGCAAGGTAGAGATCAGGTCTGGAATGTCAGACATGAAGATGTAAACAGCACAAATTACTGATAAGAGCGCGGCAATTGCCGGGCCTGCTTGCAATGACTTGGCCAGAATCGTGACCAGCCTCGATGGCAAGCCCTTCATTGCGTGCAAGATCACATCATCAAAGTCGGCGTTGCTTGGGAGAACTGCTGGCTTGCGCTTGTGCACACAATTGTTCAAATGCTTCAACACCTCCTCTCGGGAGGACCTTAAATCATCGAACTCTAGGAGGCCAAGCCAAAGACCTATGGCAGCCCAAGCTTCTTGAACAGCTGCAAAAAGTATCAAGCACAGAACGGCCAAAACACCACCAACAATGTAGGCCGATTTGTGCAGCAGTGCCCCTGCAATGATGCCAGAAACTAGAATTCCAACACCTGATAGTCCGCTTGAGATCAACGCAGCAGTGAGCCAGGATGATAGAACACCCCGCAAGCGCGAAACCTCTGCACGCAACTTGCGCGCGAACAAATGGCTGCTCGCAAATGAAATTGGTGGCTTCATTCTGCACAAAGCAACCACAGCAGAAATATCCAAAGCACGCGTAGCCGCAGCATCAATCAATTAGCCCCCGGGCTCAGCAAAACGAATTTTCTTGAGCCGTGCAGAACACACGGGGACGCAAAAGATTCCAAATGTCTGAGACCCTATCACCGAAAGTGTGCATTGACCAAAGTTTCTGAAAAAAAAAATATATATATATATACCCAAAAATCAAAAACATCCCTAAGCAACAAAAGCAGCAAGCAGCCTTTTGTCGTAGTGCTTGGAGAGATGCATGGGTCCTCCCAGACCCCATCCGCGATGGTCACCTTGTGACACTTTCCACAAAAGAAATCAGGGTGTGGCAGGCAGTTTCAATCACCAGCACAGGCCTGACACACCCGTTGCCCCTGGTCTCCGTCCAGGGCCGGCGGCACGTGTCAGGAGACCAGGGGCCCGGGGTCGGGAGGACTCCCACCGGATCCGGTCACGGGATCTTGGGTGGGAATCTAGGAAAAATTTGAATCCCTGGAAGTCCGGATGTGTGAGTTCATCCGCCCAGGTATTAAATTCCCTGGGTATGTGGCTTGGAGCCAAATTGCAGTCCTCACGGTGAAGAGTGAGCACCAATTCCATCAGGAGAGCCGCGGTGTGAGGCTTCTTGGAGGAAAGGTTTGAGTTGTCGCTGCCCACGGGTATGCGGACTCGACCGGGCATCGGGCCCTGTTGTGCGATCAGGTATTTGCAAAGCAACAAGATACCCAACAACTCCAGGCAGCAATGCGCCTTCAAGCAAAGGCATGGACATTCGCAATTTATCGGACCTGCATATGAACAGATCCATACTAGAAACGTTCAGAGGATGTCATTGGCGTATCACTTGCTCGGTCCTTTTGCTGTCACCTTAGAACACACTGGCGCCTGCCTCTCTAATCCGGCTGCCTTCCAAGAAACACTCGGTTCTGCTCTGCGGCAGATCAAACTGCGTTTTGGTGCTGCGACCTCTGTCTTCGTACGTTGATTTTGATACGTTTACTTCAGTAGTCTCATAATAAGCCCATCGTCTGTGACACTCCAACAGGCTCTACTTTCCTGTCGGCTGCGCTGGCCGCCTTGTGTCCAGCAAAATGCACCTACGTTGAACGCTGTGCGAGCCGCCCACGCACCATCGATGCCGTCGACACATCCATACTAGAAAGCGTTGGTAGGATGTCATTGGCATGTCACTTGCTCGGTCCTTTTGCTGTCACCTTGGAACTCACTGGCGCCTGCCTCTATAGTCAGCAAAGGAACCCTCGGTTCTGCTCTTAAGCAGATCGCACACCACTGGCCTCCGTGCCACGGGTCCTCAGCCAGACATGTCAAGTGGTGTGGTCTAGCAAAGACAACCACTCTAACGCGCTCTGAAGGACTTGAAATTACTAGCCAGCTTTTTAAGACAATCTATTTTCAGATTTGTCTAAATGGCCAAGCAGTTTACAGAGCCTTTCATTTCCGTCTTTCGGGGCGCAGGAAGCTGTGCCGCAAAACTAAGGTCCAGGATCGCAAATGGGTCACACCCAGCCAGGAGCTTTGCGACAAATTGTTTTGGCCAACAAGTAATGTGATGCAATGTACAGTCTTGCCTTCTCGGTCTTTGTAGTGTGATGTAATGCGCTGTAAACGTGTTCATATGACATGAGCGGTTCTGCCCACTACATGGCTGCGAACATCACCACACCCTGCCGGATAACTCTACGAAAGGTCGACCCAGCTCACAGCAGGAATTCAAATTTCCCAGCCCCACCCTCCTGCAAAAGTAGCGCCAATCCTGTACAACTTTAGCTGCTCTTTGGATCTGCCAGAGTCTGACAAACTGAAACAATTCACACAACAAAGCGCACAGCAAGCAAAACTTAGTTTGACTAATTAGTTTCAAAAACATAGAAACAGATCCAAACCCACATTGCAACGCACGGCCCTGGAATGCAGCTGAAGAGTTCCAATCCCCCCCAGTCCATCCCTCCTGCCAAAGCAGGGCCAATCCTATACAACTTTCACTAGTATGTAGATCTGCCAGAGTCTCACCAACTCAGACCTTCACACGGGACAATGTACACCAAATAACTTTTACTTTGAACTCAGAACTGCTGCCACTGCAACACCTGCCACCAAAGACACAAGCCTACAAGCAGATCCAGGCTTACATTGCAATGTAGGGCCCTGGAATCGAATTGTACCTCAGGAGTTGAACTGCCCCAGTCCATGCTTCCTGTAACAGCAGCACCGATGAGTCGATCCTCTTCCAAGCGATACTTTCAAATCAGACGCATCGCAGTGCACTTGCCACTTCCGTTGGGAGCCCTGCATCGACGCAAAACATATCCCACAATATGCGGCCTACGTTTTGCAGCATCTCACGATCTGTCTTCCAGAATGCTTTGGGCCTTTTCTGGTATCCGTCTATTTAGAGGCGCCTGAAAGACATAAATGTTGGGAAGCCCTTTCCCCAAAAAATGCAATAATCTAGTAGTTGGGGGTTTCTCAAAGTGAAGGAAAGGGGCCCGTGAAGGGTGGGGGAATGGTCGCTTCTGTGCTTTTGAAAGCTAAGGAGCTGTGAAAGCACATGCGCCAGGACCCAACCAGCGCCGAGCCTCAAATCAAATAGCGGTCTGCGCAACGCGAACCTCTTCACACGCGCCACACTTCAAAATATAACCGCCCTGCCATCAGCATAGAAAGTGGTGGACCCAACATAACTACCTCAAATGCACTCACTCAAACCCAAAACCTCAACACACACGCGAGCACACAATTGACCGCAGAACTTCTCACACCCAAGCCCAGTCCGATGCCACCCAACCCACCAGCTGGTTGGGCATAGCGAGCAGTGCGTCGCTCTTCGTCATCTTATTTACTACCACATACCATATGGTTGCCCGGCTTCACCAAGACTTCCTCCGCCCCAAAGACTGAGGCAAAACGAACAGTGGGAGCTGTACGTCCCCTCACTTGTCGCAGGCAATGCACCCACGTCCACCACTTGGCCCACATGCTGTAGATGGAAGCTGTAGCGGTGTCCCAACTGCGGCTCTCCCGCCTCCAGCGCTGGTCCGTGGCGGTGTCATGGGCCCACCAGGTGGAGATGATGGCAGTCAGCGGGGGGCGATGCCCCGCCCTGCGCTGCTCCTCTACCTCGTGGGTAGTGGATGGGGAGAGGTGGCCGCCACATACTTCAGGTCGGGCATCTCGGTGAGCAGCTTGGATTCCCCCACCCATGGGTTCTGGCCGCCCTGGAGGGCCTTGATGGTCGGGATGTAGAGCTAGACCATCTCAGCGCGGTCCGGGACGTTGTGCCAATCCATGGATAGGGCACATGAGGCCATTCTCCAGCTTCCTGTTGAGGTCTTCTGGCCAGACGGAGGTGTCCACTGCCGTCAAGCTGTACTTGGCCATGAAAGCCGCGCCTCCTGGATTTTCTTGTTGGCTGCCTTGGCCTGGTCCAGGGTCGTCATCGTCATCTTGAGAGCATCCTCGGTGCGAATTCAGCCATCGCTTCCACAAGGCCTCCTGGAAGTCCAGAAGGTTGACCTTTCGAATCTGGCTGTCCGGGACTGCCTGCATGCCCTCCTGGATTGGTGCCAAAACAGCTGCCTGCAAGTGAGCCTTGGCGGCAATCTCCGCCTCCTTCTCTTCCTCCTGTTCCTTCTCCTTCTCCGCCTTGAGGTCGGCCGCCGTCAGGCCCTGGAGCGCTTGAGACTGGAGATGGAGGGCCTTCTGGTTGGTGCTCGGCCAGGCGTTCTCTCGTACTCTGCCGAGAGGATCTCCTGCCGGATGTGGATCCTGCAGTTGCTGGGGACCTCATCAGCAAAGGTGCGCTCCTCCTCGGTGCAGGTGGCAGCGGGTGCCTGGGCATATTGGCTGCCATCAACCGAGTCGGCCAGCTTGTAGGCTTGTTCGACCTCAGTGGGATCAGGCCCAGCAACCGCAGGGCCAGAGGCACGTGAGGAAGACTGGGCCGGTGCCGAGCGGCGCATACAGGAGGTGCCACGTCGCTGGTACTCGTGCGTGGTCGCACTTGCACATCCAGCGGCACATCGCAGCATCCGGCCAAGGCGTATGGCAGGCCTTGCACATGGAGGTGAAGGGAGTCTCCCCTGCGGGGCGATGCAGCCCTCTGCCCAGTGGGGTCGTCTGCCCGTGTCCAAGGAGATCCGCAGCCGCCATGGCATCCGGCGCGGCAGCTGGGCCAGAGGCACCAGGAACTGAGGGGGCCGCGGTCGCAGGCTCCGGGATGTCCGTGCCCTTGTTGGCGTCCTGAGGTCCCGGATCTGGGCTTGCATATCTAAGTCTTCCACCACGACCGGTTTGCCAAAGACGGAGAGGCCAGATGAGGCCAGCAGCTGGCTCGTCTTGAGCATGGCGGAGGGCAGTAGATGCCGCGCCCGCTTCCTGGTTGAGTCGCTCCATGTCTGCGCTACTGACAGTAGCAGTGTCCATCAGTTCCTCAGCCCCAGAGGCTGGTTGAGCTTCTGTGAAGGTTTCAAGCATCACGTACTCGGATTCCATAGGGTGCGCCATAGCGATGGGCGTCAAGAAAGAAACCTACGGTCGAACCCAAGCACCTAAACCACACCAAATTTCCGTTGGCAACTCACTCGAGGTTGCCACCCAACTTGAGCCAAAATGTCCCGGTGGGACATTTTAGTGAGTTTTCGTGAACATAAAACTTGTAACCGCAAGCTCAATGCAAGTGTATCTGTATATGCATATTGTAGTACATGTCTGGTTCTCAGTCTCAGAACAAAGTGTCACTGTTTTCACAAGCAATTGGTAGATAAGTGAGGATGTGTGGACTATCCGTGAATTAGAGCATTGGCTACGCTTGAGGAATGAGTTTGAGTTTGTGGAGAGCTGGTGCTTTCAAGCTGGCTGCTTTTTCACTAAGAGGGCCAACTTCTCAGCAGTAGCGTTCCGTGCTGCACACAGGGACCTGCCAACCAGCACAGCACCTGCGCAGCATCGTACGCAGCACCGAGGTCGGGCCATTCGCTTTGGCCCCGGTCCAAAGGGGCAACAGAACGACCCAGGACAAGTCGGTCAGCCCGGAACATGTGGACGCGGGCTTCCTGAGCGGCTTCCGGTGCGGCTGGGCGCAGCTAGGCGCCGAAAACCATGAGATTCATCATCTTCTAAGACAGGCAGCAGCTCTGTGCCTTCGGCCGGCGGATGATAAACAATTCACAGTTGTTACGTCCATTGAATGGCGATCTGCATTTGTGCAATGTCATAAGCTGTGCTCTTTGAGTCTCAGACCATGTTCATGTTCTTGTGAGCTGGCGGTGGGCGAATGCTTCGCACCAGCGTAGCAAAGGGCACCGAGCAAACAGCACGTGAACCCCATGCCACTCACCAACTCCACCTAAAGGCTCAACGCTGTCCCAAGATTGCTTGCTTCATGCCTATGCATTGAATACATATGAAATGCCAAAACTGAAGGCATGACTAGAGGAAGCGACTATGCATTACGCATGCTGTCAAAAACGATGGGAAGCACATGGAATCTATATAATCTGAGCTGCCCACGGAATCCTGAAAAAATACGACTCCGGTTATCACCAACGGAATCTGGTGCAATGTGGCCAACACTTGCAATGCCACAGCCGAGGAAATGTGCACTAGTCGCAATTCAGCCACGGTCAGGATGGTGATACCGCATGCCTTAGGTTCAAGTGGCATGCGATGTATGCTGGTTGCAGTTGTGTGAATGATGCACAAAGGCGACTCAGCCAACAAGAACCCTGACACACGTTCCATGGCTAAGCGCTCCACAATGATGAGGACAACCCGTGGAAGACCAGCATCAAGCATTAGGGACAAGCTAAGGGCAGGAGTCTCAAATGCAGCTGCCATCATGAAACAAACCAAGGAGGTCACCGGCATAATCCAGGCAGAAAGCTCAAGCTTGCCTAAACGCAGGCTGGACTTCTGCATGAGCGACTGCAACATGACCCATCGCTGAGAAGCTATCAGCAATGTGCACAGTTGAAGCAAAGTTCCTGAAATCTGATCGTTGGCTTCTTCAATCTCTTCTTGTGAAAAGGACTTCGTGTCACCAACAGTGTGAGGATGCGAAGCCCCTAAAGCATTGAGAAAGCCTCCCAGTATTTGAAAAGCTGCACTGAGGATTCGAAGCCGATCCAACTGCTCAATGCCCCAGAACTGTGCCGAAATCATCATGAACAAAACACTCGTTGAATTCAAGATGGTGCGGGTTGAAACGGACAGAAAATGCAGAGACTTATTTGACATTCCAATCTCCACCCCTTGCAAAATGCCCAGGAAAATCAGTTGGGCCACATCTATCCTTCGCAAACTGCTGTTGTTCCAGAAATTGCCTTTTTGGCAAAAGCAGGCGCACATTGAAAACCAGCCACACACACCATTCGTCAAAGCGGTCAACGCAAATGGAAACTGATACCCCCCATCACTACCAACTGTTTGCTTCATGACTACGGTGATTGCTGCAGAAACAGCCCACCAAATGGCCACAAGCAGACACATCTGACCACGCAGGCCCATCAGTCGCAAAAATGCCCAATGCGCGTACACCTTCATCTGCCTCACACGTTCCAAGTGCCAACTGTTCTGCAAATCTCTTCTCATCCATAGGCGGTAAGCGCAGCGACTTCGCATTGCATGGTGAGATGGATCTCTCGAAACAGCTTCAGATCCCACGAAAACACGGAAGACTGCATCGTAGGTCATTAACAAGGATTGTCCCAACCACTGCTTATAAAGACTTCCTGGCCAAAGGCCGAAGAACCTCAGCTCATCTATCCTTACATCGATTCCCCTTGGGGGTTTCGTTTCGGCAACCGACGGAGTCCGACGGCGTCCGACGGAGATGACATCACCGCAGGCGCGAGCAGCGGGAGTTTTTCCTCCCACAACTGCGGTCAGCTTGCTCGCAATCCTCGGTGTGTTTTTGGCAAGTCTGCACTCCATTCGACTCGATGCAAAGCACATGGCATGCAAATACATATTTCATGTTGACCTGGCGCCCCCGGCTGGGTTCCTTTGGCAAATGATGCCTCAAATACAGCTGTACGTCAAACCAGTCCAGAAATCCGCAGACATACCCAAACGGTCTGGGGCACCAACAGAAATTGTGGGAATTCGGAGGTGAACCGAATCCGTTCTCCTCTGCGGGCGGCGTTCACAGTTCAATCATCGAATCTTGATCAGAGGTTCTTGCAATCTGGTGGGGTTTCACCTTAAAAAGCTCCTTTTTGACACCTTGAAGGCATTTTGAAGGAGCACTCCGAGACACTCCTGCTGAAAGCGTCGACCAGAAGAGTCTCAGCACATCGGCGGGCCTCGGAATTCACCCCCCACCGACCCCCGTCACCAAGGTCGGCGAAAAGACGCTGAGCGGCTCGGAGGTGTGGTTCTCCAGGTTTCGCATGAGTCCCACCTGCGAAAAACGAAACGCGAACCGGAAAAAACGGCCATGAGCCATGTTGGGATTGGTGAGGTTCAGGCCAGCTTGGTGGTGTAGTCAGGCCCAGCCTCGCAGTGTGTGTTCGGACGTTGCTTTAACCGCTCCCTCTGGGCGAACGCTTGGACCAGTCGGACAGACTGCGGTGAACGACTTCGCCTGTTGAACAGCTTCTCTCCGAGCATTGGCGCGCGCAGCCAGCTCAGTCCCGCGGTAGTTGGCGGCATTCCACGGCTGGGCATCCTCGGTTTTGAGCAGTTTCTGCGCGACTAGGCTGGCTAGGCACCAAACAGCACGCACGAACAAACGGGACTAGCTTGTCACACATCGAACAATGCGGTGCACAACATGACGATATAGCAACCCCAACAGGTCCAAGTTCAAAGATATATGCAATTAGGATTCTTGCCCAAATAAGGGCATGAAACCATGTGAATGACATGACAAACCAAATACTGTACCATCAAACCCGTCCGCACCAAATGTGCACACATGCCAACCCGCAAGAACTCTGGGTGCTCGTCAGCTTTGGGGGGCCATTGTTCGGGAACAAAGCTGTGAGTAAATCGGTTTTGCTCATCTAAGTGACATACGGCATCAAATAGCCAAATGTGCATTTACGGTAAGCCACACGCTTTTGAGGCTGTCACTGGACCAAGAATACACAGTTGGCCCGGCTTTAAAAAATAAGAATTCAAATTCTGACCGGACACGCCATCAGCAAATCAGTTTCACCGCCAACACCCAAACATCATTCCATAAGACAAGAAAAGAAGAAGTCTGGAAAGCGTTGCATTGTGTAGTATGTAATTGAGTGAGGCTTGAAGGCTCTAAGATGTTGCGACCAAGAAGACTGACATCGGAAAACACTGAGAAACATTGTAACAAAAGAGCAACGTAACTATCACAGAGCCGTGTGCAAGTTGCAACGTGCGTGAGTCAGCATCAGAAATTGTTCTTGATGCAGTCATTTGTTTTGCGTTGCACTGCGCGTCGATGACGATTGGCGGGGGGCGTAGCAGGAAGCTCTAGACTCTAGAAAGGACTCAATGCAGGAATCATTATGGCTTGACCCGGGTATTACAAAGACTCCCTAGCGCCATCGCGAGGAAATCTTGCCAGCGAGTGAGGTCAGGTTTGAGTACAGTAGGCACCCTGCACACACCAGCGAAGCTTGACACATACCAGTGTTTTTGTTCCCGATGTAATGAACCGATCTGGAAAGGCTTGGTGTGGGTGAACGCATTGGGATGTTGTAAATGGTGGATGTGAATGATGGCCTCGAGCGTTTGGGCCCACGAATGCCAGCCAGTTACCGTAATTGTATGCGCACGCGAAAATCCAATCTTGGTTGACGCCTTCCAGGAGAACCTAGGAAACAAAGGTGGTGGTTGGGGTATATATATATATACTCGGTCTTTCGCACAGGTCCACTCGCTCTCGCTATCTCTACACACTGCTTGGGGTGTCTAGCTCTGGTCTCAACATTGAATTTTGCCGGCTGGCACGTGGAAGTCGAAGCCGAGGGGGCGGCCTTGCACAACGACTCTCTCGCTCGCAAAACAGTTGCACTGTTCAGTGGGTGTCCTGTCTGCCTATCTACCTGCCTGTACTCTCCAGCAAGGCGGATGCCACGTCGTGGTTTTGCCTCTCAATGTAACAAACATGAGGCAAAAATCCCAGCAAAGCAAACAAGAACACATTGTACCAAAACAAGAATGTCAGACCGCCTCATCTACCTTTTGCGGAGCCACTGCCACTGAGACAGGTGCCACTGATGCCACCACCTGTACAAAAAAACGACCGGCCAAAGAAGTGCAGTGGCGCAGCTACAAGAGCACATCCCAGCCTCCGTGTACATCTCAGGGTCTCCTGCAACAGAATCACCTGGACTCGGACTCTGCGTTTTTTTCCACCGCTAGATCAGGCGGTGGAAAAGACTTCAATCAGTTCAGGCTGACTTGGAGCATTCAAGGCTCCCAAGGACAGTTGGACCAACACTTTCTCATCGAAGTTCGCACATGAAGTTCCCATGGTTCACACCGTCCAACCTGGAGAGGCGCCAGCTCCAGCTCCAGGGGTCCCTGAGAGGCGACGGACGAGGAGGACGGGCGCTGCGGGGGTCGCTGGGGGGCGCGGCGTTGCTGCTGGCGGCGGCGAAGCTCGTGACTCTTCAACGAGGTCACGTGCCACGAAACCGCCTGGCGAGGAGCCGTCTTCCCGGACACCAAGCTGACACCGTCTGGAGCCTTCGGCAGCTTGAGCGGCAAGAGCCCTCTTCCCTGTCACTTGGATGAGACTTCTCTGAAAAGCTGCGGAATGACCACAAACAAGGTTTGCTACGTTTTCTGCTGTGCTCCTCCAGTGCCCATACTGAGGCATTGGCTTCTGGCCAGCTTACCATCCGTGGCCAGTCTTTTTGTGTCCTTCCGGCACTCACCCCAGCATCAAGAATGATTCTTCATATGTGACAGTAGGCATAGATTTCACAAATAGCTAAAACCATACAAGGCACACTTTGAAGGAAAAGAACGCAGCTCCCCGGATTGCTCCTCTGGAGCGTCGAACTGCCAACCTGCAAGGGACTGTAGACTGGGCAGTTGGTCGAAGCCCGTGTCTCTTCAGCGCTCGAACCGCCGCTCGCCTCAATGACCTCCGGTTCCTCACTGGGGTCCGGCAAGCCTCGCACTTGGATCACTTGGATGTGAAGACACTGGGGAGGTGCCAATTCCATCAGAAAGGCCTAAGGACTTCAGAGAGGCTTTAGGGAGAGAGCTTTGGCAAAATGAAGACTATCAATCAATAGCTCCCAAATCAATTCAATGTCCAAATTTGGTTACTTCTTGTGCTTGCAGCGGAACAAGAGAACCACCTCATCAGGTTTGAACCACCTACTGTATCTTCGAGCGACATGCCTATACCCAGAGATTGACCTGGCCCCAGAGACTGAGTGATCCGCTGCATTGACCTCTGGTTTGTTGGATTATGTTGGATTGTTGGTGTTGGATTAACGAGGCACGTAGAGTGTTCCAACATCAAGTCGGATAGATGTCAATTCAATTGTTGGATTTCCTTCACCACAGCACCCTACTAGTATTCACCGGACAGATTAGTAGGGTGCTGTGGTGCTTTGGTGAAGGAAATCCATCGGACAGATTCACCGCCGAAACTTAGCTGGGGGCCACAGATTGCAGCAAAATGCACACGTTCTTGTCTTGTGCCCGATCGGGTGTCATAAAACTGGCCAACAATCGATCGCTTGGCCATGTGTGGCCGCTGGTGACCTGTGTCCAATCTATCCGTAGTTGTTAGTGAATGTACATGTTGACTGGTATCCGTGTGTCTGTGTGTGTGCGTGGAACTGCGGCTTCAATGGGACGCGCGTCCCAGTCTCAAAAACAAGCTCCGATCGCTGGTTCTCCCCACCTAAGGCTGCTCGCAAACCAAGTTGGAGGTCCCCGTCTGCTTCCCAGTCACTGTCCTAGGCCGGTCACGGTCTTCAAAACCGCCTAGCCAAGTCTGGCAAACGAAACAATCGCAGCCATCGCTCTTGCCAAGTCTCGTCATCATTCTGTCCACTTCCTGGAGTGGTTTCGGTGGTTTTTGGCAAAAGTTGAAAAAGAAATGGAGCAACAGACCACGACCAGTCACTACCAGGTCACTACCACTTGCTTCGTCCTTGCAGCGTCCGCGATGGCACCATGGGAGCCGATTTCCGCGCGGCGGGCGCTTTGGGGCGGCGTTCCTCACGCTCCAAACCAGGATCGAGGCTCGACCTCTTCTCCGGATTGGACCTCTCTGCCAAGCTCTCTGGACCTGCTTCCTTTGGCCCCGACTGGACCTGTTCCGGCTCGTCTGACTTCGCACCCGGTCCACCTGACTCGCCGGTGTCCTCGTCGGCTTCCGGGACCGAAGCGGCCGGAGGAAGGGAGGAGTCGGCATCGGCCACTTGCTCCGGTTTCTCACTCTCGGCTCCAGAGTCGTCTTCTCCAGATTTCTCATCAACTTCTTCAGGATTGGCTGCTGTCTTCAGCACTCCATCCGCGAGCTCTGATTCGCCACGACCCTCTGCCTCTGCGATGGTCTCATCGTATTGAAGGGCCTCTTCATCTTGCACTGACGGCAACAACGAAGGTCTTCTTTCTGTCTGGACTACTTGAGGTGCAACTTCGATGGGCATTGCATGCACTGCATGCATGGTGTGAGCAGGCGCAAACGGATGCAAGGAGTGCTGTCTTGGGGCCATAGCCAAATACGAACTGTGGGACGTCATCTGGTATGAGACCGGTATAGGGGGCCACCCTCCAGGCCAAGCCTCAGTGGCGGGTGAAAGGGGCTATCCAATACTTTCACAAACTAGGACAGCTATGTCCAAGGTTAAGGTTTCAACTGAAGGTGGGCGCACTGGAGACTCCTGAACGTTCGATCGCCGGACGCCTTTTGCCGCACTAGTCGTGTCACCTGGCCTCGCGGCGAGCGCGTCTGTGTCGGTGATGCCGACTGTCCTGCGTAGTGGTGGTTTTCGATGTCGTCGCGATGGCCTCCAACCTACTAGCGATGGCCTCGAGTAGAAGGTGCGAGCCGGCCACTCTCCTGCGAGGTGTCCCGCCTCCGCCTGCGCCGGCGCTTGGCACCTGAAAAACCGGTGGAGCAGGAGTTGGCCCCCATCACACCAGCTGGTCGGGTAGTGGACTTCAAGCTGTCTTACTCGCCGCTTGAAGTTGAACGCACTTTGCATGAAGCTCCGCTGGGGAAACAGTTTCATGCACACCTGCTGGATGCAAACTCCGGGCAAAAAGACCAAGACCTCCTCTTCTACGTTACTGTGCAGAACAACTGGGTGCAATTGAAACTGCCAACCAAGGCAGCTTCACAAGAAATGTCTGAGATGATAGATGTTTTTAAGACTTGTCGATCTTCACATTTCGCACCACATGTGCAAAATAGTCCCGGCACTGCACCCGTCGCATCTGGGCACCGCACCCGTCGCATGGATTGGGGCACCAAAGGCCGCCCCGAGCATGCTGTCGGCCTGGACGGCTTTCGGTCGGGGATTCGGTCGGTTCCGAGCGAAGGCGGTGTCTTCGTTCCGAAAGTCTTCGCGCACCACATCAAAGGGTGACACTGCTGTCATAGCTTTCGCTTCAGCCTCACAAGAAATCAATCGAATCGCTCTGCAATCATACAGTTGGAACATGCTGGAACCCCCTCTCCTCGGCGTTGGCTGAAGCTGCCCAAACGTTGGCATCCAGCTTCCCGCCTGCACCGGACATCGCGTCACCACGCGAAGGCAGCGCGATAGTGGTCAAGCACGCGGACCGTCGCTTTTGGGCGCCGGTTTGCCTGGATCGGAGGACGTCTTCGACCTGTCTGCCGACCTGTCAGCGGGCGAAAACGCCGCGGAGGACGTGTTTCGAAGAGCGAAGAAGCTGCCGCCAAAGTTCCAGCGTGTCTGAGCATACTCCCTCCCAAAAAAATAACAAAGGATGAGAATCACCTTGGTCACACCATCGCATGAAGTTGGTACGGTATATCCACTATTGGCCACTTTAGCCACTTTAGCACTCGCTCCCGCACACGTGGTTCCGCACGTGGAGGGGCGTTAGCACTCGGAGAATGACGATTCGTGTGACAGTTCCTGCAGAACGCAACGCTGCACAAAATACTGGGCACCCTACCTAGCAAGACGAAAGTCTTCTTTGAGTTTTCAACATCTGTGGCTGATTTGTTGCAATTGTCGGCGCTGGGCTGATTTAGTCTACAGTGCAACGAGCCCGCTTGCCGTGCTTTTGCTTGGAATACGCATGAAATGACGGTGGATGTTGGGTCCATCTGGGGGGTGCTCGACTAGGAACGGCTGAACGTTATGCGCTAGTTTCGCACGTCATCTTTCACTTTTCTTGAGTGCGCATTGGTTCCACACCGTTGGATAACACGCACGCCATCTTCAAAACGCATTCCTTTCCCATGCTGATGGGGAAAACGACGAGCGCCGACGATCACTGGTGTTCAAAAAATGGCCACTTGCCTTGCCATGAGGCCATCCGCTTCATCTTCGGAGGTCTTCTCAGGTGAGGGTGCGGCCACCTTCATCAGGATGGCGTGCACGTCCCCACAAAGAAGAAAACGAAAACAGGAAACCATCAAGGGCACTGAAGTCAACGTGCCCTTCATAACTGGTCCTTTAGCACTCTTCTCGAAGAATCCATCCCAATCGAACATGCCGAAAGCGATGGAGCTGCCTCAGACGCCTTCGCATCGTCATGATTCTTTTCCTGGCACCCACTGAAGCGGGAAAAGTCCGGCGAAGAAACAGTAGCACTGGACTGACGTGCCTTCTTGCTCTTCTTCTTTTCTTTCTTCTTTTCTTTATCCTTTTCTTTCTTCTTGTCCTTCTTCTTGTCCTTCACTTTGTCCTTCTCCTTTTCCTTGTCTTTTTCCTTTTCTGTTTCCTTCTCTTTTTCCTTCTCTTTCTCCTTCTCTTTGTGCTTCACGTTCTCCTTCTCTCTTTCCTTGTCTTTGTCCTTCTTTTCTTTCCTTTCCTTCTTTTCCTTCTTTTTCTGTGCATGTTTGTCCACTTCGGTGGTGCTTGCCTCACTGGAGGGACGAGAAAAAGAACAAAAGATTGCTGGTCCTGTGCGCGCGTGCAAGCAAATGAATGGTTGGCACAAGAGCTTTCAACTGGCCTCTGCGGGTGGCTCTACATCCAACCTGACAGAACTGGGATGCCATTTGATCAGGGGACCGCAGAACGACGAATGGCAGTCATAGACCTTCCCGGGCCAAGTTCCCAAGAAAAATTGCTTCCGAGGCCGGTTGTATGAAATGTGTGCCTGTGTGCACACAAGCCTTTTTGAAGCTTGAAATCATCTTTGGCAGTTCCTATGACTTTGCGGCGATCTCCGAGAAATTGAGAAGAGAAGAGAAGAGAAGAGAACTGAGCAAGCCGAACTGAGTAAGCCGTGGGGGAAGTGAATGGCAAGATAAGCCCTGAGCTTCTGGTGACGATGATGTCCCGCTGAGAGGAGTGGTGGGCTCAAGACTGGTGCAAAGGGCTGCAAAACCCATAAGGCCGCCACAGTGTGTTCTTGTTGTTTATGTTGAGTATAGTCTTGAGTTGTTGTTCCTTTCTTTGGCCTTTCCGCTGAGTGATGGATTGGCTTCAGGCTTGTTTTTTAAGTCTGTGCTCTGTCTTGAGTATTGGGCGGAGTCATGGACTAGTTTTCTTCATTGAGCTACGTCAGCGACGTCCCTGTCCAAGCTTTCAATGTGCTTCGCTGTTTGATGCTCACCGCGATGAAAAAAACAGAAAACCAGGACGGTGCTCGTGGGTCATCCCAACTGATTGGTGGATCGGAAGGAAACGTCTCACCCGAAGGCCGACCCAGCACGGGTGCCGCCCTCTGTGCCGCAGGCCAAGGTGAAAGAAGGATAGGCGAGCGAGCCAAAGGAAGTTGCATAGTTGCATAGGGTCAGCGAGTTCTTCGAAAGGGTGATGCACAGTTGAAACCTAAACATGACAGTGCCCGGCGCAGCATCACCAGGACGCAATTCCTTCCCCCCATCTTTGACCGACCTGTAGGTTTGTTGGGGACTGTCGGTGCCTCCATCGGGCGAGAATGCATCCAAAGGGGTCCGAATGCGGAAACATCCTACCGGTTGAGATTGTCGCCACGAACATCATAAGCTTTGCCCACACCTTCATTAGTGACAAATACCGTCCATCGCCACATCTTAGCATAGGAAGAAAACAACCTCGCAAGACAAAGAGTGAACATGAGAGAAACCATGCAAAGAAGTCGAAGTTGTGTGCGAGTGTGTCTCAAGCGACCATACCCCCCACTGCAAATCCTCATCAAAATACAGCTCCATCAGATGGTGCCTCTCTTCGTTTGGTCCGGGTCGGTTGAATCTGGGCAGCAGCTGACAAACCACAGTAGACAAGCGGTGACAAGCGCCTCCTTCGTGGCAAGTGGTCCGTCTCCTCGGTGGAAGCCTTGAGACACCCGCTTCTTAAGATGATGATTTCAACATACACCTTCAACGAAATGCTAGCATGTTCCTCTGCAAAGCCAAAGAACACAGAACCGCTCAATCACTAAAACTGCACACCCATTCCTTGCACCGAATAGGGCCATAGGGGAAGCAGCACAAATTGACATAACTCTACTCAGGCCTCAACAGGGCTTGACCTCAGGCGACTACGAAGTTTCACCCACAGAGCCAGGACGGGTGAAGCTTCACCCCCAAGTGCCACACGTGTTCTTACAAGTGCCGTTCCTTTCTTCTTTTTCTTCATCAACCTCGCAGACAAACACACACACACACACAACACAAACCATCGCACAAAAGCGACATGATTACCCAGGTCATCGTGAGCGAGGCTTGGCAGCAGAAAAGCACGCTTGGCGGTGAAGCGATGTGATGGGCTGCCATGATGGCCAGTAGTTTGAAAGTTTTGGGGAATGGCGCTGGAAGCCCTTCTGAATAGGTGAGGTGGACTTCTCCTGGAAGCTTGTCGTGTTTCTGCAAGCTCCTCCCTCTAGAAATTGTCCAGCCGTGTTGGCAACAAGGCTTTGCAGTGTTCTGCAGGCTGCGTCAAGGAGTCTCGTTCTAGCAAGGCCTTGCCGTTTTGTGCTCCAGGTGAGGACTGTGCAAACAAGCTTGTCAGATCGGCAGACCAGTTCATCAGATTGGCCAGCATGGGCAATGATTGAGGAAGCCATCATGATTGATGGAAGGCCTGCATTTGGTTACTGGCCCTTTGGCAGTCTGGAGGGTGAATCAGCTGAGCCAATTCAAGGCTCAATTAGATTATCACATGGCTCGAGGGAAGGTTGCAGCACGTAAAGCCGGTTGTAAATTATCAATTGCTTGTCTGACAATCTGCTCTACTGCACTTGTAGCTGAAAGACTACTGAAGTGAATGGGTCCCTCTCCGAGAAGGCCTTCTCATCCGCGGGTGCCTCAGTGTGAGGCGGCTTCTCGCTTTTCGCTTCTCGGGATTTGGCCTCATCATTGACCAGTCACATGGGAGGTCACCACTCATCAAGAGAAATGATAGAAAATTGAAATGAATGTCTGAAACGGCAAGGTTTCAACCTTTCCCCAAAATGGCCTTCTTCTCCTTTTTTGTTTTGGTGGCTTTCACGGGCCTGCAGTACAGCACTAGGTCTCAAATGTGCATGTGCAAATGTCACCAGGGATGTTGCGGATTCGTCTTCACCACCGCCTTGCAGGGAATGAGCATTACAACGTCCCAAGACAGAAACAAGAAGAAGGGCTGAAGCATTTTGATGCCAAACAAGTCTTGATGCACCTAAACCTACATCTTTGGTGCGATAGGTGCCCCGAGCCTCCATACCACTCTCCTTCTGCGCTTGGACTGGAGGTTCATCTGCCGGTACCTCCGTGCTGGATTTGGGCCTCAGACGTGCTGGAGCCATCCGGAACCATTCAGAGCTCCCAAAGCAGCCACCGCCAGTTTGCGCGTCAGTACAAGGCCATGTTCATCCAACCAATGGCTGCAGCTGTTACACCATTGGCTCCTTTCAATTTGTATACGAGGGGCTTCAATCTGGTGCGGTGACCTGTTTGGCCACATCCGAGTTAATCCCAGCCCCGCAGCAAGTGGCCGAGCTGTCCGCCATCACGAAGTCATTGAGGCTCGGACGGCGTTCCTTCCCGTGACTTCGGCACATCGGCAGGAGCCTGAGCCAGTCTGGTCACCAGCGGCTGATGTGCCAAGTCTGAGTCAAAGAACATCAATCAAAAGAACCTCCAAACACAAGGCCTCTGTTGGAACAGCCTGTTCCCTACTCCAATGCTCAACATCTGGTCCTGCATCGATCTGCTTTCTGCAGCTGAAACAACTGTCTTTCTAGTCCGAAAATGTGAGGATTCACTGGTCTGACAACGGAGGCATTGAGCATTGTGTGGCATCCTTCTGGTGAAGGTTCTGGAGGGACAGGAATGCTTTGGTTCCCGTCCGATTGCAGGTTGGCCTCACCAAGCCAATTAAAGACGAGACGTCCGAACTCCAGCCAAATGCCGTAGAAATAGAAACATTGCTCATGGGCTCTCTCTCTCTCTCTCTCTCTCTCATACTTTCTCCGAGCCCTCCGAGCCCTTCGAGCCTTGGCGCTTCCTCAGCACAGGCAATCACAAGCAATTGGCGAAATCGTCCTGCTTCTGAAAGCTCCATGTTCTCGTGCGACCAACGGGCTGAGGCCAACGCGTTGACGCTTGCTTGGCGCGGGAGGTTCCTGAACGACTTCAAATCTACGAATGTGAAGCGCGAAGTGTGTTCTTTCTTCCTAAGCAGGCGTACCCAGCGACTGGTTCCCCAAGCGGCTTTTAATCTATTTAACTGTTCCCTTTGCCTTTCACTGTTGAGTGTGCACGGCATCGCCTTCAAACGCTGGCTTGTCCCTTGACACTGCGGGGTTCCTCTTTTAGGATCTGGATTGCTAGGACTTCATTTGCCTCCATGTCCGGCCACTTATGACAGTGGAAGCTAACCATTCATATTAATGGATTTCTGTCTTTATGCAGAATTTGTGGTGGCTGCTAGCTGAGTTAGCGCTATTAGCCCTGAAGACTGTTCCATCTCTATCCCGCCTTGAAGCGCCGCTTCGGGCCACCTTGCTTGGCACTGAGCTTGATAAACTCTTTGGAGGTGTCGGTGACGACCAGAACGTCTTCCTTGAAAGTAACACTTCGCCGTCTTGGCAAAGGTGACACTTGGCCGACTTGGCCTGGCAAGATGCACCACTGGCCGCTTGCCCAACTGTCTCTCAAGAACACCCCAAAGTCGCCTGCAGGTGCCCTTTGATGCGGGATCACTTCAGCCTGCCATCACCAGTCTTTCGCCCCAAAATGTCAAGATAATATCAGGGGTCAGGGGAGCTCGTCATGGGTGTCCGTCTTCTACTCCTCCCAGAGGTTTAGGAACCCTTTTGAGGAGGGGTGAGACCTTGACATAAAAAGGTCCACTAAGTCCACCATCTCAAAGCTCCAAAGGGCTGCGTCGTCCAGTCCACATGTGTCTCAACGACACGCTCCATCGTCCAGCCTCAACGGGTCCGATGCTGCCGGTCGCTTCGCTGGTCGCGGAGTCGACACTCTCGCTGCGCGGGGAGTCGTCGCTGGGGGTCGAGGCTTCGTCACTGTCGCTCTCGTCCTCGACGGTCTCCAACGGCTTCTTCGAGCTTCTACGACTCGCTCCGTAGCCGTAACCGTAGCCATGCCTCAAAAAGGCAGGACAACCCTACCACCGGTTCGCCGGTGACATATTGTATAACCATGTATAACATAGTTGAACCGTGGCGAGTGTGACTTCTTGATGCATGTTTTGTGCACGGGGCACGATAGCCATCGCGGTTGCTGACCACTGCGTCTTAGAAATGGTTTCAGGTCGCAGCAACCATCGTCGTATTTCCTCCTGAGGTCATCTACCCGCCCCAAACCCGCCCCAAAAAGATGTGGTTTCGTCGCTCCAATCATGTCAAAGTCATACTCCTGCTCTGCCTGGCTAGAACGACATGTGCCGAACCACCCACCCAACAACCCACCCTGTCATGCAACCCACCCTGTCATGCAACCCACCCTGTCAAGCCAGCAAGCACTACTGACAAGAACCCCAACCCACCCAGCCAACGATCGCCCAACCTTTAAGTGAGCCATTTGCTTTCGGCCCTCTCTTCAAGTCTCTTCTCTTTAGCAGGTTTCAATTTATGACACTGATGAAACATTGGGATTGCCGCTCTTGGCGTCTAAAGGTGGGGAGCTGTTTATGTGCATGTGCAGTGCAGGTGCGCGTGCTGAAGATGCAACGGGCACAGAACCTAATTGAGTTGCATGATAGTGCACATGCCCTTTCAAACAGACTCAAACACCCACAACAAAGAACAGCTAAGGCAAGAACGCCACAGCCATATTCACTAGCCGCAGCCATGTCCACAAAGGCACTGCCCCCGTTCTGTCTGTGTCTTGTGTCTTCATCTCCCTTGTTTCGGCCAAACGTCGAAACCTCCGGAAAAGCATCGAATGTCTCGGTCGTCCCGTCCCGTGCCGTCTGATCCGTCCCGTCTGCGGTTTCGGCTGCGTCTTGCTGATTTTTGCCCCAAAATCCTTGCGCAATTCCAGTGGTCAACTAGAATTCTTGAGCTTTTGAAACAGCTGAGGCAGATCAATCAATTTCAGTGGGACAGCTTAGGCTTGCAAAGACCCCATTTCATGGAGAGCGTTCCTGCAGAGCCATGTCACACATCGCTTACCTGCTGAGCCAGAAAGATTCCTGCATAGGTTGCCAGGGTGGCCAGGCAGGTTCCATACCTGTTTGAGTGATTCGCCCCACACAAAACAAAAACATTCAGACTTGGTGCATCAGCCTTTTCGAGTGATCACGATTTGTGAATGAGATCGTGTTTTACTTGTCTGACCCTCTCCACTCGCACTTTACAAAGGGGCCGCCGGCCGTCGTTAAGGACTTTCAAGGCATTGATGTGGAGGAACCCGTTTCCGGCACCTTCTCTCTCAGCCATTTAACCATTCACAGCCACACGGCACTTGTGCTCGACAGTAATCAACTTTCCTTTGAGTTTTGACTTGCTGCAGTCTCCGCCAAGGGCGAAATGATGCGATTGAGGCCGGTCTGGATGAATAAAACCAAAGCAAAGTAGAGAATGCAAAGGCCTGCCATAGCTGTACCCAAGCCATGGTGAGTTGCGACACTTCGAACATACAGTGGGCCTGCTACCCCTGCCAAAGCATCGATCGGTTGTTCCAACTTGTGAATTTCAGTGCCGCCCTCCACACCCTCCAGCAAAACGTGATAGGCCAAATCACTCTGCAAATCACTGAGCAAGCGCGCTGCCAGAATTGACACAAACAATGACAAAAGCAAAATGCCACTGCTGAAGTAACTTGTGGAAGCAATGACATCACCCGAATCGACCGTAAGGAAAGCACTCAACCGGCTTAAGGCCACCACCGTCAATGCTGTTCGGGCCACTCCACCAGCACGGCGGCACAGCTCCACATCAAAGCGCTGCCCAACGAGCTCCCCAAGAAACGACACCTTTGCGCCAAGGAGCTCCCCGACACAGCAGGTGCTTGCAATCGTGGCGAGCAAGCACGGCTGAGCATTGGACAAGAGCGAAGCCAATAACATATTGAAAGCATAGAAGCCAAATGCTAAGAAGAATTGCCAACATGATATAAAGAGAATCACCCATTTTGCCGGGCTTTGCTTCAGGCACTTCAGCATCAAAGGTTTTCCCGTTGACATTGGCTGAATTTCCATCGCCGGCTGGTCCCACAACAACAATGGTGCGGCAGCAGCTGACACCGCGAGAAAGAAGCAAACACAGCCTTCGAATGAAGCTATCAAAACGCCCAGCCAAGGTCCGAGCAAAAGGGCTACACGTCTGGACAAACACTCAATCTTCGCATGATCACCTTGTGGTTTGTAGTGCCTGCCAATCCCTCCAAGGAAAGGCAAGGTTGATTGGGACAAGAATGCTGATGCGACCATGGCCGGCAAGGTGTACCGCGTCAACATGCCAAAATCCGCCAAAAGATTGGCCAAATAAAGTACCCAAAAAGCTTTGGACCCGGCGGATCCAATCACTGGACCTAGGTGTGGCAATTCAAGACATATAGGCTGGCGCCAACAAAGTTTCGTACATAGTTCAAGCCCAAGAACAAAACTGGACTTTTCGGACAACGCATTGCATTCTGAGGCAGCAACATGCCAAGTGCCCCAAGAAGTGGTAGAGAGCGCAAGCCGCAGCAACGCCGCATTGGCATCCGTGATCGCAAGCTGACCGCTCCAAATGCAGCAATAAAAAAGGATCACGAGCTGCCCGTACAAAGGCAAGAAAATGTCGCAGGAAACGGTGTGGAAAAAAAACTTTGCTCTTCCAACCTTCCGTTCACGGTGCTGCATGGTTTTGCAGTTCAACAACAGAAACATGCATTGTTTTTCAACACATAAGGTTTCATTTGAGCCAACCTTGCCTTATGATGTCCAGCGGCATCTGAGGCATCAGTCCGGTCAGAACACCCAATCACCATCAGTTATGCCATGGCGTCGGTTTTGGATTTCATCATCATGACCAGTGATGTTGAATGGTGCCAACAACTATGCATGCTACAGCTCGTGGAAATGTTGGGAAGTTGTACACCGAGGGCTGTCAATATTCAACATCTGCACCCAAACAGCACACACGCATGGATGAATTGGAAGCACTGTCCTTCACAAGCACCACATGTTCCGAAACAAAAAACAGGCTGGTAGTTAGCGGAGTTGCGCGCGAAAATAGTACTTGGATTGAAAACCAACCTTTATCATCCCAAAAACCGTCGCGGCGTGCATGCGTTTCTTTGCGGAATTTTCCAAACATAAAACCACATAACTACATAAACTGCAAAAGAATGTTCACAAATCATAACCCCCGCTGCAAACAGGTCCAACCAATGGCGCCCATGCAAACAAAAACATGTTCACGGACAACGTTGTTGTTTATATGGTTGTATGCTGCAAAATGCTCCAAATATGTCCAAACGTATGCACTTGAGGCCAGGGGGAGAGGTCGAAAGCTAGCCGAATCGCACCGGATGTACTAATTACATAGTCGGCAAAGCATGTAGGGATTACATGTTTTGGGAGGAAGGTTGCTATGTACATACTTTGCGCTAAAGAACGTAAATGTGACATCGCTGACTGGGAAGGGTACATTGGAACAACCCGGGTGCACTCGTTGGCAGGCACGAAGATGCGTGATCGGCAAATCCGGGGGGTAAATTTACCCTCCGCTTTTGTATGCCTTGAGTCGGAAAGAGGGGTAAGCATTTCTGACATCATACGGACTGTACATACACTAGGGCGTCCGTAGTGTAGGAGAAGCACGGGTAAAAGGTATATGGAATGGAGTGTCTTGAGGAAATAGCCGGTGTATGGTTATTGCAAATCTGGGGGGTAAATTTACCCCCCGCTTATGTATGCCTTGTGCTGGAAAGAGGGTAGGCATTTCTGGCATCACAAGGACTGTGCATACACTAGGGCGTCCGTAGTGTAGGATAAGCACTGGTAAAAGGTATAAGGAGTAGAGTGTCTTGAGGAAATAGCCGGCTTATGGTTATGGCAAATCTGGGGGGTAAATTTACCCCCCCGCTTATGTATGCCTTGAGCCGGAACGAGGGGTAAGCATCACAAGGACTGTGCATACACTAGGGCGTCCGTAGTGTAGGATAAGCACTGGTAAAAGGTATCAAGAATAGAGCGTCTTGAGGAAATAGCCGGTGTATGGTTATAGCAAGCCTGGGGGGTAAATTTACCACCCGCTTATGCATGCATTAGGTTAGAAATAGGGGTAAACAACTTGTAACGGTGAAGTACAAGTCCTATGCAGCAAGCAGCAGCCAGCAGCAGCAGCAGCAGCAGCCGCCTGCAGCCAGCAGCCAGCAGCAACCACCAACCAGCAGCCAGCCAGCAGCACCACGCAGCAGCAGCGCAGCATCAAGCCGCAGCAGCAGCAGCACCACCGGCAGCAAGCACCACCGGCAGCAAGCAGCAAGCAGCAGCAGCAAGCAGCAAGCAGCAGTAGCAGCGGCGTCGTCAGCCGCAACAAGTAGCAAAGCAGCAGCTACAAAAGCAGCAACCAGCGGCAGCAGCAAACAGCAGCAGCAAGCAGCAGAGCGGCAGCAGCAGCAGCACCCTTTACACCAAGCCACCGTTTACACCCAACCAACCACGTTCAACCAACCCCCTACACGGCGCAGCTGGGAGTTGAACCGCGGGGGGGTGGGGGGGGTTAGCTTGATATATCAATCTTTAAGGCACGCAGCCCCTCCCACCACAACATTGCTAAAGCAAAGAAGAACTCAGCTAGCATGCTAGCTTTCGTGATATCTGAATTGCATGCCTTTAGTGAACAATTTGGCACCCAACTGTACAGGGGCCCAGGGGCAAGCCGTGAGCAAAGCAAGTGAACTGGACCAGTGTGCCTACACGGAGCCGGGGGCGGTCGCCAAGCGAGCCGGCAAGTTGGCTTCGTGGGACGGCAAAGAGCTGCTTGTTTGTGCAGCGAAGTGCTGACAAAGTGTGGTGGAACTGCTCTCATGGCACTTGGGGCGCGACATGGAGCAATGGGACGCAAGGCTGGCTGTTGGTTGGCCCAGGTGCCTGTTGGGCTGGTGGTGGGTGGGTGAACAACTGGGTTGGTGACACTTCGGCCCGTCAGGCTACCGGATCTGGTTGTGCTGGGTCTGGTTGTGGGTGAGGGCCGGTGGGAGCGGTTCGGCGGCACAGTCGTGGAAGGCACCCACGTGGGTGCGTAACCATCCCCGCTCCCTACGTTGCAAATCCAAGACAAGTGTCCGTCGCCCATGTTGGGGACAGCTTGGGTGGGGAGGGATGTTCCGAAGAAGGGCATGGTCAAGTTGGACCCTTGCGTTGCACCGCAAGCATACCCATTTTGGCTGCCAGTGCTCTTCGGTGGGGTCCACGTGCCGCTCGTGCCACGCCCTTGTCTTTTCTTTTTGATCTCCTTAAATTTGTTTGATCCCTGTTCATCTATTTTTTGATCCCTCACCTGGAAATACGGGTGTGCATTTATTGAGGCGGCGCGGTTGTGATTCACATCTTGCTGCGTCAACGGCTGTGATGCATCAGTTTGCGCCATTGGAACTGATAACCACATTCAGAACGTATGCAAGCCCTTGCGTCTTGAAGCATGACTGCCACGTCATTGCTGCTGACACCGCTCTCGCGCACGAACCCTGAAGATGGTCCTACCCTTTTCAGGATAATTTTGCCGTATGGAAGGGACAAAACCAGCAAACCAAGCCCGGACTGGAATGCGCGCGCTTTTGATCACAGTCACTTAGTGGGCTGGGGCACTGGTGGGCGCACTAGATCCGCGCCAGACCCGCGTTAAATCCACGCTAGGCCACTACCGAGATGCTTTTCAGGGACTACTAATTAATAAGGGCCGTACTGGGTGGATAAAATCAATAGGTCTGACTCAAAGCTTGATCCGGTTGCCAAGACCTCATCCGGGTGCCAACCTCTGAGCTACGTAACAAGGGGGTCTGTCCAAAGGTGGATTGTCTCTGCTGTGCTGATCACAGGGGCCGGGCGAAATCGTGCATATGACTGGGCCCACTGTGGGGCCGCAAGGCTGGTTGCTGTGATGGCGGGGTGGCCCAAGCTCGTCCGTCAGATCGATAATGTCACGCGAGGCGCCCATCGTCACGCGCTTTGCGCCAATCATGGCATTGTCGTCCCAGCTTCGCCGCCGCCAACCGGACACATGAGCCCCAAAGCATCCTGCCAACGCGTTGCCGCAAGGTCCTCTTACTTGATCCAGCCCGGCCACATGAGGATCAACATGATAATAGCATGAACTTTTAGCATTTAAACAAAAAGTCCGAGGGGATCAACAAGAAAAGTAACAATGTCAAAACACATGTAGGACTTTTAACGATAACAGTGGTGGTACTGGAAAGCATCAGCAGCAAAAGGAGGAGAAGGAGGAGGAGCAGGAGCAGGTGTAGGAAGAGCGGTAGTACTAGTTGTGGTAGTACTAGTGTAGTAGTAGTAGTAGTAGTAGTAGTAGTAGTAGTAGTAGTAGTAGT